ACGCACATACATATGTACGTATTTATGTTTGTATGTATTAACATAGAAACATATGTACGTTGCTCATTTCTTGTATGTTTCTGAATTTTTAGCAATTTTTTCTTTGTTATTATTATATTTCTACATATTTACCTTTTTTGTTCATTTAAGTTAACTAAGCTAAGTATGTATGTGTGTACGCTTCTGATTATTAAGCAGGTCGTTGACTTGGTTTTGAATTTTTATGCTTATTAAATGAATATTTGATATGTTAAGAAGGTGAAGATATTTAAATACCTTTGCAAACACATATACATACATTCATACATACATACATACAATCATATATAAAAGATGTGTACAAATGTGGGCAAAAACTATACACAAATTTATTTGTTCAAAAAAATTAGCATTCTTAGTTGGAACGCGGTTGTTCGCACAGGGTAGGGAGGGGGGAACTGAGTTACCTAAAGAACGCTGTGAAAATATCCAAGTATTGTGACAGCGTGCAAAAAAAAAAAAAAATACGAAAACACAGCAGACAATAAAATATACGATATATACATACATATGTTAATATGTATATTTATATATTGTGTGTGTGTGTGTGATTGATTGCTGATTGACGGGCGGCTGGTGTTGAATTGTTTGCTTGTTGTTGTTGTTGTTGTTGTTGTTGGCTGATCATTGGGCTGACTGTTTAATGGTGGGCGCCTGCTTGAATTTCGCGCGTTCATGCAAAAGTGGTAAGAGCACAAAATACGATATTTCGATGTATTCTGAAAACAACAATAACAAAAATTGTGTAGAAATAAAAATTAATTTTGAATTTGCTTAAAAACATGCGGAAACAACGTGTGAGAAAAATACGTACACATGTGAAACATATGGACATTTATCTTTGTATAACTCTATATGGCAGTGGAGGCTTGTGGGCCCACCGTTTGTATGTATTGTAACGCAAAGCTTCGGAACTTACAGATTTTACTACATTTAAGTGAAATTCTCTCGGTCAAAGAAGCTGAAAGAGACTGACAAAAAAATTGAAATATAGAAGATCTTAGGAAATCTATACCTAAACATGATGGTCTGTGACCATAAATGTTGGCACAAGAAGATCTCGAAGTTCTCCCGCTGGCTACGTAACAAAAGGTAAGGGAAATTGAAATTGAGGAGGTGCAGAGTGATCTGAAATATCACAAAAGGAAAGTCTCGGAGAGAATTTAATCGAGAACAGATCTAAAGACTTTGGTTTACAAAAGGTTACAGAACTGTTAAATGTATCTTCTAGGAGACTCTGCTAGGCAAAAATCTCATGGGTAATCGGATAAAGGAATTTGGCCTTACTCTTTTTATTACTTCTCATTTTAATAAGTATTATGTTATTTTAGTTAGCTTATTTTTATTTAATTTAATCCTTATTGTTTTTTAGTTAATATTATGTTACCACTTGTATTTTATTTTATTAATTTTTTGTAATTTATTTATTATTTGATTTATTTGATTTCATTTCATTGTATTTTTTATTTAATTTTTCTTTATTTTTAGTAATTCAATTTTATTATATTTTAATTTTCTTCCATTTTTTGTTTCATTTTCATTTGATTTTGCCTTATTTTAATTTATTTAATTTAATTAAGTTTAATTAATTTTTTTTATTTTATATTAATATTAATATTTATATGAACTTATTTAATTTTATTGTACTTAATTTTATTGTCTTTTATTTTATTTTATTTTATTTTATTTTATTTTATTTTATTTTATTTTATTTTATTTTATTTTATTTTATTTTATTTTATTTTATTTCATTTTATTTATTTTATTTTATTTTATTTTATTTATTTTATATAAATTTATTTAATTTAATATATGATAGCTTTTTTATTTAATATTAATTTATATTCAATTATTTTTTTTTAGTTTATTACAGTTTATTTCACCTTATTTTGTTTAGCTTTGATTTCTTTTTATTTTCTTTTATTTATTTTCTATTCTGTTATTTATTTTATTATTATTTTATTTCAACACGAAGCACGTCTCCTTCCTTATCAAGGCAATCAGCCGAGCTCACACTGACAATGAAATAATTTTGTTATAATTATTACTAAGAACCAAATTATCTATAAAAAAATAGGATTTATGGCGTAATATTCAATAATTACATACTTACTTAGATAGCTGAAGGTACTTTTACACAGTTGGATACCGTTATGAACGATAAGAAGGTGGTGCTTATAAGCCAGCAAGTGTAAGAAAACTAGTTCCCTTTCATACATATGCATATGTACATATGTACATATGTATAAATGTATTTATATGCATGTGCACTTGTGCGTGCCGTTTGAGGTTAAAGTGCTCACACACATTCTATTACAGAAAATAAAATCTGTATTAAATTTTTTCCGAAAACTCCTTTAAAAACACAGCTTGAAAAAAGGAAGTTCTTATATGGACAATAAATATGTAGACCTGTTTGTATGTACGTGTACATATGTATATGAACCAACACTCTTCCCGCGCTTCGGTCTTCCGTAATTGTATTTATTTTTTTGTTTTTGTTTTTATTTATTTAATTTTTTACTACTTTTTCCTTTGAAGAGATTAGGGGTGGTTTTTAGAGCAGCCGCTCAGCTTAGCTTAGGAACAGCTCAGCACCATCTTCTCCATCTGATCATATTTCAATATCAACATTGTCATGGAGCGAAAGCAGTATATAATATACACATGTACACATTTTTATGTATATATAAACACATTCTCACTAATGCATATTTGCACGCACCCAGAATTTTTTTTTGGGCCAAGAAAATTTAGAACTCGGAATACCGAGATTTCGAGATTAGACTCTTGATAGAATATTTCTAAACTATGGAAACGTATTAGCAAATATTATTTAAAAACGATTTTGGTATAATTTACTTTATTATTTTATAACTTTACAACCATTCATAATCTAAGAGATATCAAGTTATACATATATTGTACTAAACAAATTATGTTAAATAAAACAAAGTAAATTAAATTAAATAATTTAAATAAATAGATGACAATGAATTAAAATTAAACAAAAAAAAAAAACAGAAGAAAAGTAAAATAATAATAATGATTTAATTTTACTTTGTCTTATTTTCTTTTATTTGATGTTAGTTATTTTATTTTATTTATTTTATTATAATAATTAAGTTTTTAATTTATTAAGTTTAAGGTAAATATTTTTTGCTATACTTTTTATTTAATGAGCTTTTATTTGCCTTTTACATTCTTTTATTTTGTTATCACAATCCCGAATCCTCGGGACTGGTAACAATTTCATTTCTCTTGAACATAATTATGTATTAACAACACACACATGATGACTATTATACTTCATAGTAAATACCCGAACTTACTGTTCTGTAGGGAATCTTTCGAAAAACCAAGCAGTTAAAAGAAAAAAGCAAACGATAAGCATAAAGAAAGCCATAAAGCAATGGAATGTTGTTGTTTAAGTGAAACGTATCAGATGTCGAGATTTAAAACGTACGCACACAAATACATAGACTCAGAATATTTGTTTATATGTATGTGTGTCTGTTTGTATATACATATCTTCAGTGCCATAAAAACCTCTGATTCTCCTTTTTATACATACATACATGCATATGACGTTGCGGCTGCTGCTACACTGATCTTCAACCAACTGCGGCATTTTCAAAATGCACCCCCAGTGTTTTATATTTCCTGCAGGTAGATCTACATTCATAAACACATATTTACGTACACACATATTTATGTATATACATTTATGTGTATGTTCTTTACTATTTTTTTGTTGTTATTCTTTCACCAACATGCATGATTATGCGTCTGGTGTTTTGTCTACCTGCTAAAGAAATCCACACATACACACACATACAACGCACCACCACCTTCCTTCTTCTTGTACTTCGTTTTCTATCCGCTCTGCGTTGTGCGCATTCCACTTGGCCGACTTTACTTTGCCTTACTTACTTTGCATGTGTTTCATCGTCGTTCCGTAATCCACAAAGATGCTGGGCGCACATACACATATGTATGTATGTAAATACACTACACTATGCCCATAAACTTATTGGCAGTCGGTAGGCAAGCAAGTGCGCCGTCGCAACACCACCGGCTTCTGATATCCGCCGTCGCTGTCAGCGTCAGCCACAACGTGATCGCCAACGACGTCACAACGTGTGTGTGTGTGTGTGTGTACGGTGCTTGTTGCCGCTATCGCTTCCACTCGCACAGCCACCGCAGTCGCTCACAAGCCGTCGTAGTATACTCACTCGTTGCCGTCGCACTCAACGAGCGCGTTTATACAGTTGGCCGATATTAGTTCCTGTTCCTTCGTAGCGTGCGGATATACAAACCGTCTGTGTTGGCGCTTTTCTTCGTGTTTAATTTAATTTAATTTCTTGCAATTAATTAGTATAATAAATTAGCACGTTAAATTCGTATTTAATTTTGTAAACGGAAAAAGGAAATGCATAAATATACATACATACGCACATACAGATGTACCAGTGTTTAATTTTGCATAAATATTTAGTTTAGTGTAACGAGTGCGAAATGGCAGCGAATTGGATAGCGGATTAAATTTGAAGCAACCGTTCAAATGAGAAGTCAAGTAAAATAGAAAAATTAAATAAAATCAAAAATATTGAAAAAGAAATTAAACAAAGGAATAAAAATTTTAGAAATAAATATTATTTTAAACAATTCTATGCAATGTTACGTGTTTAGTGGACTTTCGAAAAAGTGTTCGTGCACATCTAATGAAAATATAATACTTACATTTGTAGTTACATACATACATATGTATGTACGTCTACTTGAAATTCATATAAGAAATCCTACACATGGTTTGTGCCTTAAATTGTATGACAAATACATACAAATATACTTACATATGTATGTGAGTGAGTTGATACAAAAATAAAATACCTAAATTCGTGCAAAAATATAAATACAAAAATTTATGTATGTACATATGTATATAAAGCTTGTGTGGGCTTTTTCCTCAAACAAATTATAAATTACAACAACAACTATAACAAATTCAATAATAAATAATATTCTTAATAAAACTGTGCGGATTGTGTGCGAATATTGTTCAATTGGAAAAAACAAGCAGCGAAAACCTGAACACAAATGTTGAAAATTCATATTGGATTATAAATTTGTGGATATACACATTCATACATAGCTACTTATTGAACGATTGTTCCCGACAGCAAGTAGTGCGCAAATGGGTGATATTTAAGGTAAAGCAAAACAATCGTTTGGTGTTAATTATTATTAGGAATAATAATATTTATATATTTTTTTTTTGTTTCATAAATCGCAAATACCGTGATGTGTATAAATGTATGTAGGTATGTAAAATAAGCTGCGAAGGAATTTTCTGATTGCTTTGTATGTTTGCTGTTGCTGAATTCGCAAAGTTCTTCATATGAAAATGGGTGAAGGCTGTCGAAAACTTTAAATGCTGGTTTAAAAAAATGTGTAAAATATATTTGCAATTTTTTTTTTTAAATACTTTGTGAAATAAAATCTTTGCCTGGCTGTGTGTTTTGTCCGAATTCCATGTGGAGTGCTGGAAAAAAATTAATTGCGAGAGGAACTGAATTGAATGGGAAAAATATTGTCAGAGAAGACTGCGCTGTCACAAATACTAAATAAAAGTTTAACAACATTTTTTTAATTATAAATAACTATATTTTTCAACATTTCAATGGCTATGATTTTAAATTGCATTATTTTCTCGATTTCTTTTGAGTAGGAAGCGTAAATTAACTTAAGGACAGCACTAATGATATATAATTTAAGTTATCAGCGCTTCCCGGAAAATTTTTTAAATTACTTGTCCATATTGAATAATTTTTTTTTTCTAGTGAACTAATGGTTTTCAATTTTTATTTATTTATTTGAATGAAAAATAGTAATGAATAATTAATTTAGATTAAAGGCAATTAGCAGATGGGGCTATCGGCCTGATTTTATTTTTTTATTTTTTACTTACCAAAATTTAAGCTGTGTACACAAAAAAGCAATAAAATCATTAGCAATCATTTCTGATCATATTTATGCTTTTTAAAAATAGAACTTAAAAAAAAAAATAAATTGTATTTATTATAAAAAAAAAAAACAATTTTAAAATATGCTGACTAATAGCTACTATGAAAAAAATTGCACTTCAAGTTCATTAGGTCACTGAAATACAATATCAATGTTTACATACATAAATTTTATACAAGTGAACTAGACTATTTACCTCTCTCTTTCTCTCAGTGTACATTCATATCAACGCTCATTATAAATTGTATTTTTTTATAACATTTGCATGCTTACTTTTTAGAAAAAAAGCAAGCTAACTAACTGAATACTGCAGTAGATAAGAAATCAGCGAAATACATACTTTGTTTATATATATATATATAGAGGAACGAATGTAGCTACATATGTACATAGATAGTATATACATATGTCAAATATGTTAAAAGGTAGTAATAATGTTTTATTATAAATTAATTTTTATTATTTATTTGTTTGCATGTTTGTATGTTTGCGTGCATAAGTATATGAATGATTGCTTATCTAACGATCGGAAGTCTACTCCATCAGGCGCGATTGTAGGTAAAAAAGAAGTAGAAAATAAAAAGAGTAACGTACATACGTAAAACGCTTATCTAAGCAGTAAAATTGCATACATGTGTACATATATTTAACCCACCTCTATGCATATGAACAATAATACTACTTACTTTTATTAAATTATCTTGGTCAAAAACAAAAAAAATATATTTATAAAAATAAGCGATTGTTAAACACTTAAGATAGAACAAAATATTTGACAGTTAATAGAAAGTAACATATGTATGTTTATATTTTATATATGCACATATTTCATTTCTTTTTAATTTAAAATATATATATTTTCTTATGAATATTTATTCCCTGTTTGTTATCGATTAGTTTTTTATTTCTTTTTTTTTTTTTTTGAGTGTAAGATCTTAAGTGTGCATGCACTGATATGCTTTTCCAGTTAAGATTTGTGCTACTCTATAGTATATTGAGCAGGAATCTTTACACTCTCAACTTTTTCAATTTTATTATAATTTATAATATTTCTTATAGTTTGTGTTTTGAAAGTATAAAATGATACTGATTAAAGAGAGTTAAACAAATAATTATTTAACTTATTTTATTTTATTTTTATTTTTTTAATAATTTTTGTTTAGCTCTATGCTTTTAAATTTATTTATTATTTCACTATTTTCTTTTCATTTTTTTTATTTCATGACATTAGATTTTATTTTTTTTTTTTTTTTTCAATTATTTAATTTATTTACTTTGTTTATTTCAAAATTTTTATTTATTTTATAATTTTTTTGTTTTATTTCATATCATTTACACGTATTTATTTTTTATTGCTAATTTATTTGGTTTTTTGTTTTATTTCATATTTATTTCCTTTTTTCATTTCATCAACAATACTATTTAATTTGTTAATTTTTTAATTTGTTAATTTATGTGTTCTAACTTATTTTATATTATTTATTTCAATTCAATTTGTTTTATTTTTTATAATTATAAGCTTATTATCTTATTTCTGTTGTAATTATTTTATTAAATATTTGTTTTATATATTATTTTATTCTACATTCTTTTTAATTTATTTTATTATTTCGCTCATTATATTTACTTTTGATATTTATTTGTCTGTTTTATTCTATCTAAACTAATTAATTTAATTTTATTATAATAATTTAATTTGGTTTTATTTAAACTAATTTTGTTATTATTTATTTTAATACTGTTTTATTTTTTGATTTTATTTTATTATTTGTTATATAATTTCTTTATTTTATTTTATTACACTTTCATTTTATTTTATATTTTTGCGGTTTTTTTACTGTATTTTCATTTTGCATTATTATTTTTCTTATTATGTACTTAGTTTTGTTTAATTTTTTATTTTATTAATTTTTGCAAATTTTTTTTATTTTGTTATTTTTGATTTTGTAATTTTTTTTGTATTTTTTATTTTTATTATAATTTTTCTATTTTATTTTATTACATTTTCCTTTTAGTTTACTGTATTTTGTAATTTTTTTTCTGTATTTTATTATTTTTAATTTTGCTTTGTTATTCCCCTTATTATGTATTTTATTATATATTTCATTTTTATGTAGTTTAGTTTATTTTTTTATTTTCTTAAATTCTACAGATTTTTCTTTTATTTTATTTTGTCACTTTTTGTTTCCTTTTTTAATTGTTATATAATTTCCCTATTTTATTTTATTTCATTTTTATTTTACTTTATTTTATTTGATTTTATTTTATTTTATTTTATTTTATTTAATTTTATTTTATTTAAATTTATTTTATATTAGTTTATTTTATTTTATTTTTTTTTTTATTTTATATTATTTTATTTTTCTTTTTGCTGTATTTTACTATTTTTCCATTTGCCTTTATTATGTTCTTAATTTTTTTCTTATTATGTTATTTATGTTATTATATATTTTTTTCTATATGTTTTAATTATTTTAATTTATATTATATTATTTTATTGGATTTATATTTGATTATTTTTTTTTTTTTCATTTAAATTTTTTGAATTCATTTTTTTTTTTTTTTTTTTTTTTTATTTTTTTTTTTTTTTTTTTTGTTATTTCAATTCTTTTTTTTTTCTTTTTATTCATATTTTTTCCACCTAAAAAGAAAGCGATTTTGAGAAGAATGTAGGGTATAATGTAGAAAGATGCTGTAGTTAGCGCTAAAAATTGAAAACAAGAAAAGATAAGTAGGCAAAAGGAAGCAAAGCAAGCATCGCCAGCCGCTGTGGATCGAACGCGATTGATCGGTCAGCAGAGGGCAAGAGAGTGAGAGGCGAAGGTGTAAGGTGTGCGCACATGTTTCGTAAAATAAACGCACACGCACACACATACACAAACACAATTAAAATGAGTAAATAAAATATAAATAAATTCAATAGGAAATTACTTTATGTACATATGTATGTGCATACATCTCTATATGCTCATAAATTTATTTAAATATATATACATATATGTATATATATATATATATATATATATATATAAGAGTGTAAACATTCCATGTCCGTTCCCTGTTTACGCTCTTGGAGGTTCCTGCCTGCACAAATTCCAAGCGATTGTGTCTCTACAAACATACTCCTACATACATATGTACATATATGTATACACGTACTTATCTGAAGACGATGGGTTTGTGTGCTTGTGATGTGATCATCCGCACAAGCGATTCACTTGAATTGTATATACATACAGACATACATACATACATGCAGCCGCACAGCTATGCTCACAAGTGCCTTTTGTCAACAATCAACAACAGCCGGGGGAGCAAGAACAACAACAAGCAGCACACCGTCAAATCTCATCATCAGCAACTTGGTTGTCGTCGTCGACTTCTGAACGATCTCTGAATGCGGACGCGATGTGATGTGGTAGGAAGCCCACACGTCCCACAGCAGACATTATAAGATTTGTCTGTACGCGCTCATCATACATACAACGCTCCACTCGCAGCCTATTCTATACATATACATATACATATAAGTACATATGTATGCCGTCGATCATTTATTTTTACTCACTACTTACATATATATATATATTTTTTAATTTGCGTGTAGTTTCCGCTCAAACCGGTTTCATCATCTACATTCCTTCCCGATGTGAAGTGTGATGCGAGATGTATACGTGTATGTACAGGTGTGCATGTGTGTGTGTGTGTGGATGTTTATGTATGTTGTGATGTGGTATTGCGTTGAGAGATTCTCCATTGGCAGTATTTTCTTTACAACACGCCGTGCCCATCCAAATACACGTGTATATATATTTGTATATTTATACGTGCGTTCATATGTACTTGTATGTTAAACCCCTCCCGGAGCGGACGAGTAGCTGGCTGGGAGCGCTCAGAACATCGCTCCAGAACGGGCAAGCAAGCGAGCGGTCGCCGCGATTTAAAATCTTTTGCTTTTCAACATTTTCGAAAAATTATTTCTGGACATACAAACTCGTACATACATACATACACACATATGTATATGCTATTTAGACTTCCAGTATATGTATATGTGTTGTATTGTTTGTCTGTTTTATTAATATTATTTTTCATGCTTCATTTTATGGCGCAAAGGTTCCCTGCCCCGCTCATCCAAGCTCATTTGCGTTCATTTGCTCTTCCGTCTGTGCGCCGATCGTCATCC